CAGGGCATTAACAACCTGATTATAAGATGGAAAAGCATCATCAATAAGAATGGAGACAATTTCATTTAGTAAGTGTTTTGTTTGGATGTATAAGTTGTTCGGGTTGCTTCATCAAAAAAAAAGTGACATTAATTATTGGACGACCTAATAGATAATGGGAGATGAACGTTTCGGGCATGGTCCACATGCCTGGTTGTAGAATTTACTCCAATGGACAAAGAAGACGAGAAGTGAGGGAAAAGGTGAGGTGTCTAATCTAATGAGAAGACACCCAGAACAAATTCCAAGAGGAAGAAGGCAAGGAGGAATAAGCCAATCAGATCAAGAATCAAACCCAACTAGCAAGGGTTGAAGTTAAAAGATCATGAAGGGAGGAAGACTGTCATGGGATAAAGATTCAGGAACGGATATCACAGAAGGAAGCTGTATAGGCAATATAACAAGGAAGAGCCCGAACTGGACACAGAAACCTATCCAGATCTGATCGAGGGTAAAGATGAGAAATGGAAGGAAGGGAAATAGGCGATAAGGAGGAGCTACCCTCCCAAGCCACCGACCAGGTGCCTCTTGGTGATTGATATGTGCCACCACTGTAGAATTGTCAGAATGAACCATCATCAGACAATGTCAGGCGAGAAGAAGGAAGTGATTCAATGCCCACCATACAGCTAGAAGTTGAGATTGTTGATATGCAAAGCATTTTCGTTCACAGGCCAATGGTCCAAAGCTTCCTGGTGGTTGACCCATACACTCCAGCCTTGCAGGGATGTGTCTGTGAAAAGATCTAGTTCCTGACACGTGGGGAAGAAGTGGCACACCCACTGAAGTATGTGTCTTATCCAACCACCAAAGCAGATCATCACGCAGGGTAGGAGAAAGGATAATGGGAGTAGAAAGAGGATCACACACAAGGTTCCATTTATCATGAAGAGGCCACTGAAGAGATCTCATATAGGCACGACCAAGAGGGACCAGTGATGTCATTGAAGACCACGTTCCCAAAAGCAAGAGGACCTCGCATACAGTAAGTGATGGAACCAAGAGAGTGTAGCAAACTAACAATTCCATAGAACGAACTCTTAAAGGAGAAGGCTGGGCCTGACTGATATGATTATCGAAAAAGACCCCCAAATGGATGAGATATTGAGAAGGTATGAGGAATGACTTCTCCAGTTTGATTAACCAGCCCACTCGACCAGCCACTAAAAGAAGCTGCCGAGTATAGCTGGCCAACTCTGGTTCAGAATGAGCCAGAAGAAGCCTAGTCATCCATCTAATCATGAAAACTCTACCCCAGAGCATGAAGATGTCAAGAAAATGCTAGGACTACCCAACAGAAATCATAAGGGGCCCAAGCAAGGCCGAATTGTAGGGCTCGAAATTGATAACCACCCCGAGATGGACAAACCAAAGATATGGACGAGACCAAGGTGATATAGGCATATGGAGATAAGATTTGATGACATCCATTTTGATCATCCATAAACCTTGAGAAAATGCCCACCTCAGGGTGAGAAAAGACTTCACAGTAAACCAGGATAGGTGAACAAACCATTTTAAGTGAGATAAATCTATGACCGGCCTCCAGTCCCCAGTTTTCTTGGAAACAACAAAAAGTCAGGTACAGTGGCCTGCTGAGATAGCAATTCCCAGTGATAGTTCGGTAGAGGAGTATAGAGGGAGTCACATAAGCATGTCATGCTCCTATTGGTGAAGTGATGCATTATGAGTTGCATGAGAGACATGTTGGAATCTTTCAATTCCAATAGGGGGGAGCAGAAGGCTTGTGGCATGCATAAAGAGAAAGTTTGCATATAGAGGGCAGCATTGAAAGAGAATAGTTAATTTTATGACAAGAGGTAAGTACGGTATTGGAAAACTTATTTCTTTTTTATTTTAAAACAAAATTTTAGTGGGGATTTTTTTTGGTATTTTCAAAAGTACACAGGTATATATAAATTAGACAAAACAAGGTATGACATATTTTCATACTGAAATCTAGAAAACATTTGCTTTTGAGGTGTATATTCTTGCAGTGTTATATTACAATGAATTTGTTTACGACATCATATTTCTCTATATACAAATTAAATTGTAAATACTGAACAAACTTTGCAGTCAGAGAAAGAACAGCCCAGAGCTTTTATTACTTAAACCAGTTATTGTTTGACTGCATGAACGTTATGAGTTATTTCACTTGTGCTTACATGTTTTTACAATTTTTTTGTGTACTGGTTCATAGTTGCAAATTATAATTTCAAAATTATTGTGAAAAGGGAAAGATACACGGTGGACGATCATGTGGCATGCTTGAATGGTGTCTTTATATTTGTCTGAATCATCTTTTATTACATCATTTCAAGATGATAATTATATCATTTGAGCTTAATAAATGTTGACATCATATACCAAATTTTTACTGAGAAATCAATACAATGTAAGCACTTCTCTCTAATTGGTCTATGTTAGCTGCTTTATTTTTACACTTATGTCTGAAATACTATGACATGCAGTACCAGAGGCATCACAAACTAGTATAGGTAATGAGTTATTCAGTAGTATTATCCGTTTGTGCCAATCTTTATACTCTTAACACAATTGTAGGTAGTAATAATAATAAATAAAACAGAATATAGTAAATTATCTTATGAAATAATTATAGTGTTTTTATTTATAAGTATTATTACTAAAAGAAGAATAGCACACTTTATACACAAAAAAAGCAGGGTTTGAGGAGCTGCAACACAACAGTATTTTGTATTTGTAAGTATTGTATTGAAAAAGAATTGATAACAAATAAATTATATTTTAAGAGGTATTCTGTAATGCATGGTATGACCTGTCAAACGATTTTTACATTATACTTTTATAAACTGACTCAGAACGAAAATATTAATACCCATATAATGTAATGATAGAAGTAAATGACCTCTTACAATTTTCTTCAAAGAATCTTTTGCATGATCCAAGAAAGCATCATTATATTGTAGTCATTTTATTAGTATTTAAAGGCTAAGGTTAACTGTTTTGTACCTCTTTTCGAATAAGATTAAACAAACATATTTATTAATTTCAAGTAAAATAATATTGACTACAAACTTAAAAACAAGAACTTTATTTGTGCTGTTATTAATGACTTTCGATCAAAAGTAAACTAACTTTACAGATTACAACTAAAAAACTATCTTATAAATTAATGAAGCCAAGTCTATGTAACAAAAAAAAAATTAAACAGAAGTACACCTCATAAGTCAGTAAACAAGAAAAAACACAAACAAACCTAGAATGATTAGAATTTATTAATTTATCAGTTGAATATTCACAGTATTATTAGTATTTCCAGTTATAATGTAAATTGTTAGATTTTATGTATGCATAAGAACATATACTCTTTCTTTTTTTTGGAGAAAAATATTTGGGTGAAGTTAACTTAAAGAATAATAATTACACTTGCTACATCAAACAAAAAGACTTGCAGCTTTTACCCTGTTTTAATAAGACACATTTAAACCAAAGCTCAGTTTGCAATTCTAAAGTTCTTGACTCAAGTACAAGTAATTTTGGTTGTTTCATATTAGCCCATTTTCATGGAAAATAAAACAAGAACAGTAGAATAGCCAATGAATTATTTTCCTTTGTTAATATTAATTATCTAAACATGAAACTTTCAAAGAACCTGGATATTTGGTTCAGTGCTTAATTCCCGAATATTCAATAGTGAAATGTTGATATGGATAACTTCTGTGCCTCCCCCCCAAAAAAAAATCGAGAGTAGTTTCAGTTGACTTGAAATTAATATTCCAGTTTGCCAATAAAATTTTTTATTTCTATCAAATCAAAATTGCTGCTATTCTAATTATTTTTTGTTTGAGTTATAATCAGAGTGAAATTACAAAGCTTTGACTGTATGCAGAAATCCAAAGTTTTATGGGAATGGGTTGGTTTACGGCCATTTCGTCAGCCTGTTCGTGTAGAGAAAGAAATAAGAAACCTGAACTCTGGAAAGCAAAAGGTAAATGATTTTCTTTGATAACCTATAATTGTAATAGTTTGGAACATTTAAACTTGGCTATTATTCAAAAAAATTGAACTAGCAAAAAACTTTGATTTTGAGCCAAAAGTAAAGCCAAATTATTCTTCAGAAAAATAACATGGAAAATACGTGTTTTGTTTTGTACTTCACCAACACTGTTAGCATGTGAGATTTCATTAAAGTTACAAAAATAACTATACCATAAGGAAAACATTACAGTGACAGTGCCACCAAATCTCCCTTTTATTGTAATGTTTTATAGCAATTTGATATATATTGTCAACATGCACCATATGAAATACAAATATGTGATCTCCAATATTGTTTCAGGTTGAAATCATGCAATTTTTTGTTATTTTAATTAGTAAATCAGTAATTTGTTTTAAGGATTTTTGTTTTTTGTATTTGTATGTGTGCTTATATGTCATCTTACAGGAGTGAAAGATTCTGTATACAACTAAACTGGGGAGATGAGTAACATAAGTAAAACACTAACAACAGTTGGTATGGAGGATAGCCTCAGAGATGGGGCTACCGTATAAAATAGTATTCGAAAAATGCTAAGTGCTCAGTAACAAACTTTCATATAGAAGAAAATTTTAATATTTGTAATGGAAATTCTATCAAGTTTTTATATAACTTGTATTTTCAAATTTACATATGTAAATTTCATGTACTTGAACAAACACATGAACTTGTGTTCTATTTAATTTTTGGTTAAACAAAATAGTATTCTATAATTTATTTTTAAGTAAAAATATTTTATGTGTGTGTATGCCAAACCTACTGTACAAGTTAAGTTTTTCTGGTGTAGATTTGGCTGTTTTTCATGCTACCTAATTTTCTTTTTTTATTAATTCAGTCTAAGTAATTCCAGCTCAAAAGTTTAATACAATTTAAAATTTTTTGTTATCTGTGCTGAGCAAATACATTGTATTTATACTACTGAATTAATTTATTTTGAAATGATACATTTATTCCTGATAAGAATCAATAAAATATAAAGATGCTTTTAGAAATGTGTGTATAATCAATTGATAGCAAAAATATTACAAAACAACAAATAATAGATACATTTAATACTTTCAAAATTTAACAATAAGTACTAATTATCTGAACTAAACTGTTTCTTTCTTGCAGGTTGTTCACAATTATGGCCATGGAGCCCATGGTGTTTCTCTATCTTGGGGAACTGCAAAGCATGCTGCAAGACTTGTCAAAGAAATTTTAGATGAGCCAGTAGATTTTACGACTTATTCACGTCTATAAATCATCTTACTGACCAACATAAGCAAAGAGAACCTGCAATATAACTAATTTTGAAAAACCAGTGAACAATAAAGTTTACTGGATATAATGCTCTGAAAGTTATTTTATTTGTTTTAATGTTTCTTTACTTTAAAAGACAATCAGCATTTATAATAAATTATCATTTTTTTTAAGATTATGTCCATATTTTTCTAAGAACTAAAAACAAATTGGTAGTTGACCATGATGTTTTAACAGGTAAAGATTTGTAGTTCTCATAGAAAGTCAAAAATATTTTATATGGTTTGTATAGAGTATCTTACAGATGATATTCATGCTCAAAACTAACTTTATTCATGTATGTTGTGGAATGTAATTTTAATATGACCAATTAGTGCAGCAGTGTTTATGATAGCTTATGAGGCAGTAGTTTATCATGAAGTGTATAATCAAGAGTTGGTTAGTGTAGAATTAGAGCAGTATTTGACTAAAAAATATTTGTTTATTATAAAGTAGGCAACTACTAGATTTTCATCACACAATTTGCCAAATAATTGATGTATGTCATAGATTTATTGCTATGTAACATGTTTTACATTGGAATGTAACTTTTTGATAAAAGTGTAGTTTTAGGTTTTAGACAGTGAAAACGTTGACATTTTTTTCTGGTGTATTTGTTTTTTAAAGCTGTTCAGTAATATAATCTGATGTCAAGGTACTTGGCTAAGAGTTCAGTTTATATCAGTTCCTACCGGCAGGAGATTTTTATCTCTCTCTCTTTTTATTATATTGATCTAATCAAGCTTTAATACAAAAAACAAAAAAAACGTTTTTTTCTTTATCTTAGTTGTATTGAAGAATATAAATAATTATTTCAGAATAAATTTAGCGTTTTTGTTGCTGAAATAAAGTATCAGTGGTATGTAAATTTTTAGGTTAATATAAATTTAAAATAATTATTATTTTTGAATATGGTGGAAAAAGTAAAACTTGAGAATTAAGAATATAAACACAAATTTCTGTTTTTACATTCTACGTTAAAGTTTTTCATGTGTAGTTCATTTAATAAAAACTGACATACAAGTAGCATTAACTGAACTAACTGATACCCAACAAGATGGACTCCTACCACAAATATGATTGAAAAGAGACCTACCCATAGAATTTTATTCAAGGGCAAAAAAGCATAAAACAATGCCAAATTTATGTTAAACTTGCTCTAGACTTTAACTTAAATCTAACTAATTAATAATTCTAATTTCTATATTTACCTAAAGTCACCTGGTTGGTCAGCAGTAGGTTTACAAACTTAAAACACTAAAATTAACTGTTCAATTCCACAAGATGGACAGAGTGCAGATAGCCAATTATATTGCTTCATGCTAAAATAAACAAAAGTTATAATTTTCGTACACCGAAAATGTATTTCCGATAGGTACTTCCCTCCACTCACAATATTAGCTGTTCTTGTCCAGTGCTGTCCTCTGTATGCGAACGTTTTTCTTTACGCATGCCACAAGTTTTCTGCTCCCCGCTATTGGAATCAAAATAATCCAACATGGCTCTCATGCAAACCATCATGCGTCACTTCTCTACCAATAGGAGCATGACATGCTCATGTGACACCCTCTATACTCCTCTACCGAACTATCACTTCGAAGTTTGGCAGAAGACATAAGCACCGGAGGAAAGTAACTATCGGAAATAAATTTTCAGTATAGGAAAATTATAACTTCCAATACAGTACCTCCCTCCACTCATAAGATTAGCTAGAATCCCACAGATCCAAAAATATGATGAGGGGAACCGCACCACTTCTGACCAGGTATACTCTTTGCCCCTCTGTGAAATGTGGAGAAGATAAGGGTGGAAAAGGAGAGGAGCACATGCAAGTCAGAGAGAACTGAGGCAGGACAGTGATCCTAACTGTAAAATATATATGAAACTTAATCCCACATAGTATGAAAGTGGGTAAATCAATAGATGTGCTCTGAGGTGTAGAGTGGCTAGGGTGCAACAGACCGTACTTAGTAAGTCAACTACATCCAAAACCCATGCTGCTGGGATTCGACATTCATGTGGGGGGAGGATGAGGATGATACCATCTTCACCTCAAGTTCAAGAGATCTGAGGGAAACTAGAACCAGTCTGACTCCACAACATGACACATGTTAGTTTTGATATATCAATCCGGAGACCAGACATCCAGTATTGAAAGCATGTCTATTAAATATAAATCAACTTCCCTAACAGTGAAACTGGCTGGAACCATCCAAAAAGCAATAACATCCTTGGAATGTGATACACAAGGAATAGCAAATGGATGGAACCAAAACGTGTCATCACCTGAAATAGTGCCATGGGTGACCACAAAACCCTATTTTGAAAAGCAGACCATACCAATTTATTCAATATAGGCAGGACAGGGATGGGCAGCTATCCTCTTCTACTTTACCCATGCAAGTCCATTGATAGTATGGTCCAGAATGGGCAAGTTCATGAAGCAATTACATCGTGAGGGTATTCACCGACAAGTGATCTTGTGGAACACCCCATCTCAATGGTCAGCATGGCAAAGCCATGGAAGTTAAAGCGCGAGTCAACATGGCTGTACAGTGTGGAAAACACCTGGTCAGGCACCACTTGCTACAGAGTGGGATCCCTATAACAAATAAATGAAACAAGGGCTCCTGAAATCAAAAGAATGTATGAATATTTGTTTGTTTGTAGTTATGCAGAAAGCTAAACAATGGGCGATCTGTGCTCTGTCAACCATGGGTATTGAAACCCAGTTTCAAGCATTGTAAGTCCGCAGACATACAGCTGTGCCACTGGGAGACTGTATGAGTATAGACTTACCTAGTCAAAGTTGCACTGAAGCATGAAGAATGGCTACAGGTTAAAGATGAAAACCCGATGAAGAAGAAACCGTGATAAGGTGTAAATAATGGGAGATGAACGTATTAGGTGTAGTCCACATGCGCGATTGTAGTATTTCCTTCAATGGCTGATGAAGACGAAATGCGAGGGAAATGGTGAGGTGTCAAATCTGATCAGAAGACACCTTGAACAAGAAGCAGACATGGAAGAATAAGCCAACTGAATCAAACATCAAACCCAATTGTGGAGGGTAGAAGGGGATAGATCACGAACAGAGGAGGACTGCCAAGGGATAAAGAGTCGGGAAAGGGTACCACAGAAGGAAGCTGTGCGGGCAATATAGCAAAGAAGGGTATGGACTGGACATAGAATTATATCTGGATTGGGATGAGGGTACAGATGAGAAATAGAAAGAAGGAAAATAGGCAAAAAGGAGGAGTTACCCTACCTAGCCACCAAGGTCTTTGGGAGGAAGCAATGATCTGGATAAAAAAGACGATAGGTGTAGTAGTAAAGTGCACATGAAACATCAATGGGAACAAATTAGATCTTCGACATCCACAGGCTAAGAGGAGAAGGAAATATATTTTAAGAAAAGGTTCAAATGGAGGACCACATATTATCCCAGTCTGGAAGACTATGCTATCTGAAAAATATGCATTAACATAATAAGGACAGAGGAAGCAAAAACTCAACGGCTTTGGGAAAAACAAAAAGTTTGGGATAAGGCAGCCCAATAACCCAATAAAGAGACTGCAAACCCCCGGTAAAAAAGCCATGTGAGAAGCTCAGCCATCAGAGCTTCTCACAGCAGGGAATACCAGAGTAGTGGACCAACTGTGGAACATTTTCCATTTCCGTTTATACACCTCCATTGAAGAAGAACGTATGGAACGAGCCAAAAGGAAAGCTACTCAATGGGAGAAACCTGATCTCCTCATCAAGGACCTGATAAAAGCCAGGCATGAAGATGAAGGATGTGAATGGTGGAATGTAGAAACAGCGACAGAGTGTGACAAAGAAGAGGGGGAGACAAGGGAAGGGGTACAGGAGGGAAAAGTTGCAGTTGGTAAAATTGTGGAAACCACAGTTGAGCTGGCAAATAGGGAGTGATAAGAACTGGACTCAGATGAGAAAGACCCTTTAATGAAGTAATTGGATAGGAGGATAAACATATATACATATATATATAAAGGAAGTTGTGGGACCTAAAGACCACTCTGTTGGATAAATTTGGTCGGGGTGGGAAAGACGATCCACTACGAGATTGAAAGCACCCGGAACATGACGTGCAGTATGATGCATGTGACCTGAAGCCTTTTGATGATTGACCCAAACACCCCAGCCCTGTAGGGATGTGTCTATGAAAAGATATAAATCTGGAAGAGAAAGCAGGATGTTCGCCGACATATGGGCCATGTCTAACCACCAAAACAGATTGTCCAACAGGGTATGAGGAAGGGTAATGGGAGCTGCCAAAGGATCCCAAGCAAGGTTCCATTGATCACGAAGAGTCCAGTGAAGGTATTACATATGTGCACAACCGAGGGGGACCAGTGACGTCATTGAATACCACATCCCAAAAGCAATATAACCTCACAAACAGAAAGTGAGGGAGCTAAAAGGGCGTGGGGAACTAACAATTCCATGAAACAAAGTTGTAGAGGAGAAGGTTGGGCCCGACTGGAATGAGACAAGATATTGGGAAGGACTTCCCCAAAGTGATTAACCAGCCCACCCAAGCAGCCATGTGAAGGAGCTAATGAGAATAGCTGGCCGACTCCAGTTTGGAATTAGCCAGAATAAGCCAGGGGTTGAGAAGGAGAGGAAACAGTTAAAAGTGCCATATTGGGCTCTAACTGAGACAAACAGGCAACAAGAGTGGGAAGGGTAAACTGTTGTTGTACTGATGCAACTCATAACTCCAAGGACTCTGGGATAGTGCTGCAAAAATGAGGCCATAAGTAAGTCTTGAAGATAAGATGCTGATAAATGGGCACAAGTTAAGGTCGTATCACGACCTAGAAGGTCCCAACAATAGAGAAACCACGTATGCAAAGCCAGAGCCAAAGACGAAAAATGAGCCAACGAAGAGGAATGAAGGAATAGGATGTCACCAGAAAACCAATGATTTTGGTGGAGAGCCAAAGATAGGAGATGGCTGGTAGAAAGATACCATAAAGAGTTGTGAGGGTAAGACAAAGGTGGGAAAATTGGGCATGGGTCAGACTTACAGGAGATTCGGGGACCACCCCCAAACAGGTAAAATAGGACCTAACAATTGTTGGTCTAGAAAAGGGCAGTCTACACGATGATATGCAAGAACAAAGTGATCTGAAGCTTGTGGGGGGCAATGCATGATAATCCAGTCACTTAATTGTGAGGCAAATTGGTCAGTATTTACCCGAATATCTGGGAGGGGGGAATAGGGATGTGAAGATTGGTCATGTAGTAAAGAAGGATGCAGTTTATAGGAAATAGGAGTAAAGGATAAAACATCACATACCTGAGAAACGAAATCCAAAGAGACTGTAGTAGGCCTTACTGACTCCTCAGTAGGGTTATGGGTAGGCACAGCAAAATCAGGAGGTATAAATAGGCAATCGAAGTCATTGTCACCCTGAACAGGCTCAGCATGTTCGGGAGGAAGTGGGGAGAGGTCCAGAGATAGAGGTTGACCCATGTAATGTTCAATCTTCCCTTGAATAAATGCTGATAAATCTCCCACTGGGTCGCCCACACCTGAAGCCTGTGACATA